CGTCATCTCCATCAAATACTGAGAGTTCGACTTCGCCGTCATCTTCATCAAGTACTGACAGTTCGACTTCACCACCAAGTACTTCAAATTCAACATCGCCGACAATGCTACCAAGTGATCCAACGTCTCCTCCCTCTGCAGAATCAGACATCGAAGGCAGGCAATTGAATTCGCGTTTCAAGCGCTGGGCGGAACTCCGAACAGAAAAAACTCGCGAGTGCTACAAGATCATCTATAAAGGTGCGTTAATTTGAATATTTCCCTAAAATTTTACGAATCACGCAGATTTGATATTGACATTAATTTCCAGAGAAAGAAACGGAAGTTGTAGAACGTGGGTGCGTTCCACCGGCGTCTCAAGGGTGTACCGATTTGAGAACCGGCAAAAACGGTGTGACTTACTGTGGAACATGCGACAGAGACGCCTGCAATTCATCTTCAATTATCACCCACAGCCTGACGTCAATGCTGTTACTACTCGGAGTAACTTTCTACTTGACACGATAGAGGCTATTAATACTCAAATTTCCACGAGTATTACAGGATTTATTCAACAGCAAATGTATATTCACGCAATTGCCAGTACGAAATAAAATCCAAATCCAGCGGTTGTAAACTCATTAGATCCTACGAAGAAGAAGAAGCCAAAAGCTATTAAATAATTTAAAAAAGAACAAAGACAATTCAATTTTCAATTCAAAATTTTTAATGAACGCTCCATTTTCTCATTCTCTTAAAATATTCTAATAAATTTGTCTTTCTTTTCGTTTTTATTTGACAAACCCACATGAAATTTAATTGCCAATTATTTATACGGCAGCGCAATTAGCGAAAATATTGAAAGTGTATACATCAATCAATCGAAGATATTGATAAATAAAAAACATGTACAGAGGATATTTTCTATATTTTTATTTGATAAATTGGGATAATTAATTCTTCGGAATGTTCTCCAGAGAATGAATGTTTCCAGTTGTCACGGGGTCTCGGTGAATTGAGATGAAGGTAACGAGTGAAAAGACATCAACGAATGCACTAATTACAACGATATTTCTTGAAGTCATTATCCGGAAACAATGGAGTACGTCCAGAGTTAACGAATGAGCTGAACGTTGAGTGTCAACTGCAATTGTTTGCAACCGCTCGATTGTAGAGAGCTGTCAGATAGGTACGAGGAACGTTTCGCACAGTAGAAGAGACACTTATACTTGTCCCAGCTCGTTTTATTTTTTTCTCTCAGGAAAAATCACGATGAAAGATAAAAATAACACGAGGAAGCAAAAAATTGTTATGCATTTGCAGGAAAAGATGGCACAAACGAAACGATTTCAATGCGGAATTGAAAACATCTGTAATCTCTGGATTTTATGGAGATTATATACATGAAACAGGTTTTATAGATTATTTTTTTGCACGCCAGAATTTTCCAATGAAAA